CTGTTTATGAACCATACATTTCGTTGTTCAATAGTTATTAATTGGTGATTGTTATGCTATTGCATCATGATACTAGAACCTTCTGAGTTTCCCGTTGTTTTAATTGCATATTATTGCATCATAATATCTAATAGTGTGCATAATCTTCTATACATCTACTGAAGTATAAATATGCGTCGACAATGTAGCTCGAGAGTTAGATCTAGACTGTGTGATTGTGAGTTTAGCTTTCACTCTATGCCAAACTTGTATGTGAAGATGTTCAAAGGGAAGTGAGGTGTTGTTGTTAACGAATTTCAAAGGTAAAAACTTAGGTTACACCTGCACATCATTTCATTTGATATATTTGGTTATTAGTATGTGTGGCTAACTCTGTGGTTTTGCCATCCCTTTTTTCTTTACTGGGCCCAGTTCCCACTTTATATAACCAGATGGTAATGGAAGGAATGTGAATGAGTTCCAGGATAGCTCTGGATCATTGTCATTACCACAGAACACGCTTCAGGATATAGCTTAAGCATAAGACTAGATAATGCCTGCATGAACAGGCTTTCTCCAGATTGTATGGATTGTGTTCCATAGGCAGGTTAAACCTTGCAGACACGGCATTTGATCATCACGGTTATTTTTGTTGTATTTATCCTCTTCTGATAAAGGAAATTTTAGGGCCAAGTATTTCTGTAACAGAGCCATTAAAGCTTTAATCTACACATTTGACTAATCCGTTCTAACTTTTATCCAACATCAAATTCTTAACTATTCTGTTTGTCTTTTTCATGAACTAGCAAGTTGTGAACATTTTCTCTGTGTTGCTAGTTTCATCTCTTAAGGTTAGCATGACGATGATAGAATCCAATTAAATTCAGTTATGTAATGGGTTTCTTATTTTGACAAAACCTCCAAAACTGTCCTCTTCTTCACCACAATGGAACACATGGACGAAGATGTACTGCTAGATGAAGTGTTGCACGGTTTTTATCTGATTGATGTGTCAAATAATTTGGCACCAAAGTCTCTGAAGCATTCTGAAACACCACTTTCCACCATACAGCCAATATAGCCAGACCCTCAACATCCAGTGACTGTCACCCAACCAATAGATCTGGTACTGGATCCACCACCTCTGAATGCTAACGTGAGAAGCAAGCCAAGGTATAAACCAAAGACCAAGAACAAGTGCCCGGAGGAGAACTTTAGATGCCCCATTGAATGATTTTTGGTAAACAGATTTCCTGTCATATTTTTCACCTCTGGTGACACCATCACATCCCTTGCCTCAACTAGACCTTCCAGGAACTGTACCAATCACAAACATTATCTATGAAGGAAAATCCATCAGCTGCTTCCACAAACACTTCATGGGATACATCTACAGTACTATATGCCTCCATCATCGGTGTAGTTGTGGATTTAACACCCAGAGCAGCGACCATCACGGACACTAGGGCACTGACGTCAATTGAAAATCTCCCAGGTCTCCAAAAGTGCAAAGACGAAGAGTTGGAGTTCCTCACCAGACCTCTGAATGAAGTAAAGGAGTACCTCATGCTTAAATAGCTCACAATTCTAAAGTGCCACTGTAAAAAAGAAAAAAGACGCCTGGTTGCTTTGTAATCAAGAGGAAGATTGACAGTTGAAGTGAAGAGAGCTGCTAACACAGTTTGAAAAAGAAGTGCATCATCTTCAAGAGGATCTGTTGTGAACTCGTAAGGCTTTTTCACAAAAGCTAAAGAGATCATCTGCTAGACCACTATAGTACACAACAAAACCATGGCTGTGTTGTAGGATTTGCTGTGAGGTTCCTATAGGTAAGCAGCTATAGCGTCCCCAGCAATTTTATGTAATTGTCCAGTTAATTACACACTTAATCTTTTTATAGTTGATTTATATAATGCATATATGTATATTTCTTAAGAGTAAGGGTGTATATTTTCTTTTGTGAGTGTAATTAGCGTTAAGAGTTTATTTTTTGTGTGTGTTTGCATGTTTTATATGATTTATATATACGGCTTTATTTTCTTGTATTGTATGAGTAAAGTTATATAGTGTACATTCTGTGTGTGTATGAAAGTAATTTATTTGATTATATTTTACTTGTTTAAACTGTTATTTTGTTTTTATTATGGATTCCTGAGAAGGTTTATGTTAGTGTATGCTTTAATTTCATGAAGAATTAGTTTTTTTTATGTATTAATGATGTTCAAGGGAATAATTCCACTTTCGATAAAGCGCTGATTTGGCAGTTTTATTTATTTTTTGTGAAGTATTTCACTTAACATGAGCCATGTGGGTTTTTCTTCTTTGTATTATGTAGTAATATTGAGTTCTTTTTGACATTATCACATTCTGTTTTAAAGAGATCTTTCACCGTACTTGAAACTGTAAAGTATTTATTATTTTAGACTGTTTGTAATGGGTTACTTTAAGCTGCAACATAATATAGTTAATTTTGCACCATTTCACATTTGGTATGTTTGATGTTAAAGAATATGTTCACGTGTCACTGTCATAGCTAAAGAGTTATATTCTAATTTAATTTCTTTGTTAAAGACGATCATAGCCTGTGGTTTATGGAGGAATGATCAATGCTGCTGGATACATCACAGTTCTCGAACAAAGCTTTAACCTGTTTATGCCAATCACCAGCTTACTAGACAAGGCAGTGTTTGTTTGTTTGTTTTTGTGTGTCAGATGGAGTCCCTGCTCATTCAGCTCGAGTCATAGAGCAACGGATTGAAGACTAATGATAGGCAATCGCTGGATGATCTCTATCGAGCATGTGTGGTCTATCCTTGATCATTCCTTATGAAAGCATCCCAAAGAAACAATTTGCAGAGACGCCCTCAACCAAGTCCTTTGATAGGACAGGGGTTTAATCCGATAGCATTAGCTTTCAGTACTTGTAAATGCGATTAATAACGGTGTTTCCGTCTTAAATATTGCAAACAACATATCCAGTGAATGATAATGGTAATGTCATATTCTTTGTTTAATGTTTGTTTACCTAATAAAACAACATATCCAGTGAATGATAATGGTAATGTCATATTCTTTGTTTAATGTTTGTTTACCTAATAAAACAGCATTGCTAATGGAGTAATCAAATTTCGGAAAAAATTAACGAAATCACCAGAGTAAAACCGTTTACGGTGTACCGTTTCAACCAACTTCTTTTAGTTAAATCTTTTTTAAGCCTACCAGTATCTACAGAGTGGCTTAACATGGCTTGACAAAGAGCTGCTACTTGAAACATCAACCATTAATTTTGTTTTTTTTTCTACTTTGGTAATATTATTCAGCTTACTTTCTACAATCACTCTCTCTACATACACACACACACACAGATAGAGCTTAGAGTGTTACACATAAATGATTTGATTGATCAACATCATTGATAAATAAAGCATGACAGTACCAGCGACAACGAGGCTCTAAAATAGTTTTAATGTAACATACTGAACCTCTTTATATACATATAATGATATGAAATAGCACAGATGATATTGATATGAAAATGTGCGTTAGTTTCTCACAGTGTAGTTTATAAAGTGAGCGTATATTTTCACATCAAACAGTTCAGTTTTATACTATTAGTCCTTCTGAAGCCGCAATGGCAAAACGTTGACTGAAATAAGTTTGTTATTTAGTATTATTAGCTGGAGACTAAAGGTCGGTTTTTAACAGCTTACTATAAAAGCTGATTCACTTCCTAAATAATACAGTACGTGTGCATCCGCCTCAATATTTTGTCGAGCCCATCTCAACCCTCTTCGGTGGGAGGAGGCTGTTGCCGCCTGATTGTTTTGGAAAAGTTATTACTTTTAGATTAACACAGTAATATAAATTTCTATGCATTTTAAAAAGTCAAATAATTAAAATTAGGAAGTATTATAATATTTTTTTTTCATTGTATGCCAATAACAACAAAAACATCATCATGATTCATACTAGTAATTACATCATTATAATCCGATGTTTACAATACATATTATTTCATAATAAAATATTAATTTACCTCAAACAAACACAAAACACGATAAAAACTCAATCACTTTTGATCTATCTTTTTCGTTAACTCTGAAGAAGACAGGCCCACATGTCGAAAGTGATTGGGTTTCATCTGGTTTGTTCTGATTTGATTTACCAAACTTTTGTTTATCCTACGTGTTTTCTAATATCATGGATACTAATCTATCTCGTATTGTAGTTTACTATGTTAAATAAGCGTCTTTATTTCATTAACCAGGTTATACTGACGCTCCCAAAACAGCGCTGAAAGCTAACTTCAATAATAATAAAAGTAAATGGATTAATTCTTTGTTTTTTGGATTTCCCTAATCGCCTATATTGTTTTAATGAAGCATTTATTTATGTATACACTTTTATTGTGATAGACGATTATAATGTCAGTTACCAAGTGAACAATAAATAGTAAAAAATTATATTTATCTGTTTGTTGTCAAGCGCGAAGATGCACAATAGGCTATCTTTTCTCAGCTCACAGCAACTATCGAAATTCGATTTTTAGCGTTATAAGCCCTCAGAGATACTGCTGAGACAGGGGAGGGAGGCAAAATAGTCCTTAAAACTTAGCAAAACCAAATCACTAAAAATATTGAAATAGACGTTTTGAAGAGTGGACTCTTCTACAGAAGAAAGGTTTGAGCAGAATTAAAAAAACAACTATTTTCAATGTCCTACTTTATAGTAAAAAAAGAATAAAAAAATAAGTTATATTAGTCCAGGCATGAGTGTTATTCACTTGTACAGTACCTTATAGATCAATTAGAAAACTTTATAACATTTTGTAAAGTAATTATATTAATCTTATGCAATAACCATTAAAGCTGAAATTTATCTGTAGTAAATTTGGCCCAATTCTATAAGATTTAACAATAAAACTGAAAACTAAAATATGTCAAAAAACATTGTGTGGATTATCAAAAGTTCTCACCGACAAGAAAACTACCAAACTTTTTAAACTAATACGAAAAGGATATGAAAGGGCGAACCCGAACTGCAACCTTAACATTTTCAGCTTCGGGCATTGTGGAAACAAATTTTCTGTGATACCCGCGAAAGAGATTTTCAACGATGTATATTGAAGACCTTCTTGCAACATATTGCACGCCCGTGCGCGTGGAAGTTTGTTTCACTGAAGATTGTTGACTGGTCTCCCTGGCAACATTCCGTCATAGAGTAATCGACCCATAAACGACCAATCTAACAATAAATGACACCAGAGTTTCAATTGTATAACAATAAACATGTGTTTCTTAGAAGTTTTGATCCACGATTTTAGTAAACACGAGGACCAGGAATTACTATGACCTGAATTCACGGGGAATGACGTTGTTTTTTAGTGGAATTTCAAACAGTGGTAAAGAATTCTTACCAACAGTAATATTGCTGTCAGTATTTAACTCATCACTATCTGCAAGTAATCTGAACTGGTTTTTCTATATTTCATTACAGTTGAAGACTTATACTGATTTTGTCTGTATATTTATTCCTTGTATTATAGCCAACAAATTGTACCTTACGAAATGTCCAAGAAGCTGTTGTTGTTTTATATAAAGATATACAATGGGCTATATGCTCTTTGGATTTTGACGTTGTAAGGCCAAGAAGTAACTGATGGCATACAAAGTAAGCAGTTTTAAAAGTCTTTCAGCAGTTAGCTTCACTCATCCAAATTCAAATTAACGAACAACATAAGTTAATCTGTAAAATATCATTTTACACAGTAATCAAATTGTCACCTTGTGTAACCAAGTGGTTATGATATCGTGCTCAGTTGGGTTTGTATAATGTACAAAATGATAAACAAAATACTTATGTGGAACGAATAAAAGTAAATCCACCAAACTGTCTTAAACGTAGGACATTATTTACCAAAGTTCATTGTTTGTTTTAGTGTAAAGCCACTAGATGGGCTACTTACTCTTTATCCAACATCGAACACCAGATTTTAACCTTTTACGTCCATAAACATGCAGCTGACCCTCCGAGAAGACTACTAAAATTCAACCGAAGTAATAATATAAAACATTATATCTCTTATAAACGAGAAACATTCATGGTTTTTAGAATGTATGTACATTTAATTTTTTGTTATAGCGCATTTTAAATCATTAATACAACAAATAATAACTAATTTTATTGAGTTATTTCGCCTTGATAGTATATTGTTGGATACTTTGTATTGTTGTCGTTGGTTCTTGTTACTGTGAAAAATTGGAACAAATTCATCTCTGCTTTAAATATATCCTGAATTTATCTTCACCTCTGCACATTTCAATTTCAAGAAAAAAACAAAACAATGTACTGATGATAAGAATATATCAAAAATGATAAATTGGAGTTATTTCGATTAGCATGTAGTCTCGTTTATAAAAATAGAGGACAAACATTTCA